ACCATTGCCGGTAGACTTTTGAAATATTATTGACATTTCGAGCTTCTTCTTTCGTTTTCAGAGAATATATACTATGCGGCGAGTACGTTATAAATCGATGAGAAAGATGAGTCCGAAATATACGGGTGATTCCAAGACACCCTATATGCGCATAAAACGGAAGAAAAAGAGACCAAGGATAGAATGCTCCCGCGTCCCGCGCGATGCGGGAAGAAACGGAAAAATCGAACGGCTACGCTTTAACGATTTATGCAAGTTTCTCGCCTTCCTTACGTTTTCCGCGCTCGGTGGAAAAAAAGAGAACGCGCCCCGGTAGTATCGGGGGTGCAAAAAGTTTCTCGGCATTTCGAACACGCCGGAGGTCTTTATCGCCGAGGCCGGTCACGTAAGCGGCGCACGTAGACAAAAGTTCGAAATCACATGTAGTGATGTGCGCATCCTTCCCTGTACGTGTCTCTCTCTCTCTCTCTCTCTTTCTCTTTCGTTTTTCATTTTCATTTTCTCTCCCTCTCTCTCTCATCGATTTGCCTTCGCGAACGAGAAACGCGTATAAGGCGCGCGGATAGCATTTAAACGCATATGGTATAATGCAAACATGCAGTCGCCGGTCTGGCGAATCTGCAACATACGGTCGACGGTACGCGGGGGGATAATGGCTGGTTTCAGCGATCGTTACCCCGTCGATGCACCCGACAGCGAGGGTGTCTCGCATTCGATAGTTTCGCCGGCGTCCCGCTCAAGCCGCGCGCTTATCCGCGCGTCCGTTTCTTATCGCGACGCGGTATAAGTCATACACCGCCGCCGTAAGAGTATTAATTAATGCGCTACGCTTCTCCGGATGCATTCGCGCCACGTGCTGCGCGCGAGAAGGTGACGCGTGCGCGGAATGCATACGCGATTTTAAGATCGCCTCACCCGAGATAAAAGATTAACCGAATCGACGATCGGGAGGCGAGGAGCCGGTCGGTCGGTTTCCGTTCGAGCTCGCCTCCCGCGCTCCGGACAAAAATAGCCAGTCTTAAGTGATTTCTTGTTACGCGGCTCCCCTTCCTCCTTCTCTCCTTTCTTCTCTCCTCCCCCCTCGCCGTCCCTGTCCCTTCCGGACGCCCTGCACCGCGTTGCAAACGCGGTCGGAAATATGAAAGGCGGACCGGAGCTCTTTTTCGAGCTCCCGGAAGATCGTCGATGATGAATTATTCCGGTCGGTCGGCGTATCCGCGGAAAAATATGGAAGTGATACAAACTCGGGACGGAGCAACGGAGCGTATAATCCGGCTCCGGGTCGATTCGTCGAAAATCGCATCGCAAAGTATCCGCAAAGTACCAGCGCCATCGGTAAAGATACTCGGCGCGAAAATACTTGGCTCGCCACCCGAGATTGTTCATCGCGAAACGACCATCGACGAAGAATCTATGGGCGTTTAATCTACTCGCGCGACGAGATCTCGGCGTTTACGGAGATTCACGTCTCTCCTATAACCCGGCTCCGTCGTGCCCCATCCAACTCCGACGATCAGACAGACATCGTCGTCGCGTCACGTGCGCGGCGAACGAGGCGAGGCGTTGATTCGAGCAAACTCGACGACTATCAATGTCGATCGATGCGCATTATCCCTCGCTGCGCGAGAGGGTAGTTTTAGACGCGGCGAAATTTCCAAGTCGAGCGTGACGCCGAAACGCTAATTGATATCCGCGCAACAATTAGCGCCGAATTAATCGACATCGAGGTGTGTAACGGTAGGCGGACACGCGGTTGCGGCCGGCACGCGGAACGAATCGATTGATTCGACAAAAGTTTATCGAATAAACAGCACGGCCCATTTAATTAACAACGACTTCCATCGGTTTATTTATAAACGCGCTCAGGCCGCGCGCGCCGCCAAATTCGCCGACGAGAGAATGGAGTTCGAAAAGTCGTTTGCAGGACGATAGCGATAATATCGGCGATTTAGAGAGGAAGGAAGGAAGGGGGGAGAGGGGGGGCTCATCGACTCTGCCCGCTACGCAATCAGCCGTTTATTAAAAACGGCGCGGAGATATGGTGTCCGGCCGCGTGGGCGGGATAAAATTACACCGGATTTATCCTGCCGCTGTTTTAACCTGACGCGCGCGGAAACGCAATCGAAGTTTCCTTTCTTCTCTCAGGAAGAGAGAGAGAGCGCGTTTAATTAATGTTGGTATTTATCGCGTAGACGGCTGAGTTATTGCATAGTATAATGACGTGAATTTAATTGCACATTGCGAACTATGGTGGTATAATAAAGCAACGCGCCGCCGACGACATTGTGTTTTATGTGTATATATATCGCGTGACGCGAGCACGTTTTTACAAAATCGCACCTAAATATCATTTAAATTCCGTTTAATCGTCCGTTAATCGCGAATCGATTAACGATAGCTCGCATCTTTCGACGTCTTTGCTGACGATGCCAAGCCCGCTTAATTCTCGTGTGATTGTATGATTATTCTTCGTCTCATTGATCCCGCACGACATAGTAAAAGAATATTTTAATATAATGTCTTTTTTATTCAAAATATTATTAGTCGCTCGAAAAGGGAGAACTCTCTCTTCGCTTTCAATAATAATTAATTAGCGATTAATAATGACAAATTATATGCGAGTAGATTATACTAAAATGTTGGCCGGCAAAACAATAATCGGAACGAGAGGCTGGATGGTGAAATTACGAAACTTTATCGAGTGAAAGCAAAGAGCTCCACTTAATTAAGGTCCGGCAGCGCACCCCTACGCGCCCTCGCGCTAAATTTAAAAGTAGAGCCTGATAGATGAATTAATTAGTCCGCTCCAATTAGCGGCCGGTTAATATAGAACCGCGCGCGCGGGTTAATGCCGATACACGCGTTAAACGACAAAACGGCCGCGAAGGCGATCGATTTAGCATAAAAGCGCACCGAATGAACGACACGTCCTGATAATTGGACGTATTTGTGTACGGACACCGATTATGTCGACACGAAAGGAACTCCCGGAATGGCATTGAGGCATCAGCGAGGAGAATTCTAAAAGGATGTGTAATGAAATTTTTTAGATAGAGAATTTTATTATCTTGTGATTTCCAGTCGATTCGATTCTCTTTAAACGATTTTTTTAGAAAGCTGAACGTTTCCTTGAAAACATTTTCTTCTGGCAATTTTCTCTCTACGTCTTTATATAAATTTAAAAAGAAATTAGATATCTATAACATACAAGATTGTTGACATGTCATGGTCAATTGTCATTGTATCTCGAATGATCAGATAATGGAATGCAAATAAATTGTTCACATTATTCTTTGAAATACAATCGCGATAAATCGATAATTCGCGACGGTTATTTATCGAAATATATACTTTACATAGTATATATACATATATATTCTGAATATATTCCGTGTCGAATATATCTTGCGTCGCGTTTTAAATTTGTTACTTGAGAATAATACACTCATTATTTTAGGATTGAGAACGCGGAGCGAAAATCGTCGAATCGAATGACTTCGATAATGGGAAACCGTTATATATTATATATCGATCGTTTGATAATAATAGATATATTTCGCGGGATTTGTGTTCGCGTATTTTACGTGATTCATTCGAAAATCTATCGCGCCAGTCAGTAATGCGATGACATATTTTTCGGATATTACATTCTACAGAACTTTAATTTCATTTCATATAATTATTCTTCTAGTACGGAACAGAGAGCGATTGTTCGAAATCGAGAACGTATTGTTTGAACGTTATTAAGGAATAGAAGAGAATGAATAAGAAAGAAAGACCCGAAAAAGGCATCGGATCCAACTTTGCATTTGTTATACATCCGAACCTGTCAAATTTTGGATTAAATCGCTAGTCTAATAAATGTTTCACGTAATTTAAAAGGAGAATTGAAGAGCGTATAATATTCTTTGAAAATACATATCCTAAATGTTGGAAATTATTTCGCGGATAAGGAAGGAAATTATTGTTTACCGTTTAATTATTTAAGTAGCTCACCAGTTATATGTGTGTATCTTGTAAGCAAGACGAGAGAAAGGCTTATTATTTCTGTATATAATTCATTATCATATATTACCATATGTAAGAGAGGAGAAATCTAGGGAGCATTATACGCTAGTCATTCGACTCATTGCCGCTATTGTGTATTCACTTGGCTTCTTATCCGTTTGTTACAAGCAACTAACGGCTAGACACAATACCAATTTCCTCGCATCTCGTGCAAATAAAGGTTTTCACGGGTTTTTTTTTTTAAATCTAAAGCCCGATTCCACCAACATTATTTTGATTTTAAGTAAGACTTAAATGTATGTCTGTCTTTATTTAGAAAGAAAGATAAAGATAGATACACGCTGGATCTCGTTTAAATTCAAAATAATGTAATCTGGCGTGAAAGATGTAATTTATATTTATTTTCTTCTTTTCCGAAATAACGCGAAATTATATAAAATGTAATACAAATAATTTCCATTATGTAGCAAATAAATTTAATTGGCCAATTTTATCTCTTTTTCAGTCTCTTTAAAAGATTAATTTACCGTACAATCGCGTGGCACACACACGCTGCCAAGGGTTAACGTTCGACCGGCCGTCTCGTCGCGAATCGACGCCGTCTGGTCGACTGGTTAAAAATTGCGCGCTAATGTGATAAATCAATTAATGGACCGCAATTAGCCGCCCTCGTTCGTTAACGCCGAGCGACGAGACGCGACGCGACGCGATGCGCGCGATCTCCGTAAAAGTGACTCGGGGACCGTCAAAGCGCCGATTAATTAACATCCGCCGTGTTATCTTCTCGTGTACACACTCGCGACGACGACGACGACGACGACGACGACGACGACGACGACGGCCACGCGGCGGTAACTTTAAAGTTAATCCGCTCCTCGGTTTGCCAACTTAACTCATCCCGCGCCGAGGACACGGTCTCGGCGCAACTTTTCCGCGGTTACTTTTCCGCTTAAAATAACTTGCCTTAACTCAATTATTTCTCATTAACTTAGCCGGTGCGCGCGGGCTTCTTTTTTGTCCCCGGCCAACTTTTCACTACGATGCACAATGGCTCGCTCGAGCTGGAAGAAAGGCGGCGGAGGACGCGACGGGGGCAAAAGCCTGGGGTGGATGAGGAGGACATACATAGACTGTACGTGGGTGTATGTGTGTGTGATGCCCAGAGGTATGCACGCTACGCGGGGGCGTATGTGGGATACAGCGAAGCGCGGTAAGTACACACACGAAATTACTGTGCTCGAAATTAAAAGCGGAGGCTTTCGAATTTATGGCCTTTTCAGATTCTAGAGACTCGGAACATTAAAATCGAGAGTTGGTGATTCATAAAACTCGGAGGATTATTAACGTCGGAGATGTATACGAGCTTGCAAAGACGCATTTTAACACTCTTTATGGATCTGTTTGGGTGTGTACGGGACTTTTACAAAGTTTTTAGCGGAAACATTCTTATCGCGTTATTGCGCGTTTCCGTATCCGTGTGCGAGGACGGTCCTCCTTACGCTTGCACGCCACGTCCTCGTCCTTGTTGCCGCTTCGACCACCACCTAGAGTCGGGCGAGATTTACATGAGTAACGCTCATCGCGACTTTATGGAGCGAAAGTGAGGCGTTCTTATCCGACTTTATGACTCGGTCGCAGGAGAACTCCGCAGAGAAGTCCGAGTGAAATTTAGCGTGTAATATTGAATGCTGATTAGAATCGACGAATAAGCGAGCCGAGCGCCTTTGGCGCTCGCGGGTAATCTCGTGGCTTAAAATAGAGATTTATTCGGTCGCTCGAAATGCCGCGGCGCCAAAGTGTGCGAAAAAGGTGGACGGGAGAAACGATCGGGTGGCTAAGCTAAGAAATATTTCTAGCCATCTCTCTCATTTGATGCGCTCGTCGATAGCGAAAGGCGCTTAATGCCCCTTTGAGCGGAACCGTCGTTGGCGTCTCGTCGTCGTTGGCGGAATCGGACGAGGCGAGGAACAGCGAGAAAGAAAACGAAATAAGAACGCGTTACAAAGAAGGGAGGAGCAACGGGGGGAATTATCTTTGAAAGTTAAAGCTGGCTCGTGCTCTCTCGCGGATCGATTCGCGCGCTACGAGCCTCTGCAATTTAACTACGCGATCCATTCTTCCTCTTTCTTTCCCTTGCTCTCTTTCGTTTCCTCCGCTATAAAAAGGGCCCCGCGATCTTAATTCCAGTTATTAAATCTTTCAGTCGACGCGGACGAGCGCGGGCGAGCACGCTTGTGTTCTAGTTGCCATGAATAGATGTTTACTTATTACAATTATACTTTATAATAGCTTCCTCTCCTTCTCTCTCCTCTTCCCGCCGAGCATTTTGCCGACAGAGAGGTAGAGAAGCGCGGCTTCTTCCTGCCTCTCAACTTTGCTAGAGTGCAGTTTTGCCCTCTTTCTGAAACCCGGACGTCACCGTCGCCGCTGCTGGACCAAACTTTGACACAAACGCGCGCGGCCGACCGTAATAATAAATATAATATTCATACGTCACTCGAGCTTAAGAGAGAGAGAGAGAGAGGGAGAGAGACAGACGGTATGTCGAGGCGGAAAATTGCGCGTGTTTTATCATTGGATATAATTAGGTACTGTAGTCAATCGGAGAGATTTCTTTGATCGTTTAACGGATCTCGTGAAAAAAAGAACACGAATAATTCCAGATAGGTCATAATTTACATGCCACTGAGCGGAAATTGAAATAACAATCTAGATTATTTATTCGAGTAATCAATACATTCTTGTTTTTAGATAATTAAATATAATTTAATTCCTCGCTCGAGCGTACAATTAATTTTATCTCTATAAGAGAATTACACATTTCCCCTTTTAATGCGGAACAATATTTCCAACTTTTCAACAACGTATCGTCACATTAAAATCCTTACAAATTCCTTAAAAAAGTATCTAGATGAGGGGCAAGAGAGGATTAGAAATGCCATTAGGTCACATGAGATATAACGCACAGACGGATAAATTCCAATTGAAATCCCAGTGAAAGGGTTAACGTCAGCGAATCTCTGGATACAACGCATCGATTCCCGTATCGCATGCAACGTTCTCGTAATAGCTGCCGGGCGGATCGCATCCCGCGAGCGCTTCCTGCCGTTGCACATTCGCGTGCGCGCGCGCGCGGGCGCGGACGCGAGCACACACGCGGGGGTTGGCGGGCGTCGGGCGTCTTTACGCGGCAGCTACCCCGGGGCGTCGCGGCGTTCGCCGCACTACCTGCCTGCCGAACTTGGGCGTGCACAAAGCAGGCATACCATCACTTTGTAACGATAAACTCGGCGTAAGGTTTGTCAAAGCTAATTGGATGCGACTCCTAGCGTACATTGTATCGACTGTGCAATACTCGAAATGTACAAATTCGCAAGTGCATCCGCGCGCGCGCGCGCGTTCGCGATTCATCGACCCGGATATTGCTCGTCGTCATCGTCGACGACGACAACGACGACGACGACGACGACGACGACGACGACGACGACGGCGACGGCGGCGACGGCGGCGGCGTTTCCTCCGGGGACACCCGTTCAAGAGTCGTCATATCGGTCCTTTTGCCGAGAGAGAAGCGACTGCTGGACCTTGATCGAGTTCTTTCGGCATCGGACGAGGAGTGCGATGCCCGCCAAATCGAATTTACCATACGCCCGCGATAAATATGAAGGAAAAATATTTGCGATATTCTTTAGTTAGGACGGGACGTTTCGGGGTAGTTCGTCGATTCGAAATTCAATTACTCCCCTCGCGTATCTTGTTACAAATTTTCTTTTGTAATATTTTGTAAAACAAGTTTGTCGGACAAATTTTACAAGTATCGCGGCATAAGACTGTGTTTGTGGAATACATATTTCAAAATGTTTACTCTCGTTCGATAGAGTAGATTTTTCAATTTCATGTTGTACGTCAGCCTGAAATTAAAACGCGTCATTTTTCCCCTACCTGTAATTACACTGTAATTTATCACGAAACGGCTAAATGCTCTTCCCGCATGTACCAGATGCATACTATTACGCGATAATCTTCATTTAAATAACAGCGCGGGGAATTTCTTTCAAACATTATTCCGCGCTATCATATTTATTATCTTTCAATTATTCAATTTCGACTAAAAAGGGCAATAATAGGAACGCGCAGCGGCAAAGGGAAAAAATTGTGCCACGTAACGAGAAATACACGAGTGCGAGAGGTACTACGCGCGATCTTGACTCGGCGTTCGTTTCGCCTCGTGCCAACGTTGCACGCACGTGTGCCCCTCTACGTACGTGTGTGTACGTGTGTTTCCGTGTATATTACAGGCATAGCAGCCCCGTTAACTCCATTTTCGCGTGTACCGCTTCTGTGAACGAGCTCCGATAGCGCGCAGTCAAATAACGGTGCACGAAAAGTGGCCGACGCGCGCCATTATAATTACACGCGCGTAATGATAAGAGCATACCGATAAAAAAGAAAGAGAGAGAGAGAGAAAGGGTTGTTTTTATCATTCCTCATTTCCGGTAGACTATATTTATGCAACGCGAGGACGTATCACGCTGTCGCGCGACTCAAGATTCCGCATCTTTCCGGGTTTTTCTTTCGCTTTCCTCCCCCTCTCCCCTCTTCCTCTCTACCCGCGAGATATCGCGGCATACCGACGCGTCACGTCTGCAATCGTCGGCGGATATTTTTCATTTCGCGCGATCCCCTTCCGACCAACCCTTCACCGGGCGCTTTAAGGTATTACTTATCCCGGATTTTACCCGCCCGACCGATCCCGGGTCAGATCAATCACTTATTCGTGATCGATCGCGTAACGCTTTAAGGATGTTTATAAGAGAGGCGGGAGATGGAGAGGGGCGGGGTGATACACTCGTGCAATTCCCGATTACACGATGACATAAAAGCTCTCTCTCTATATATATATATTACATATATATATATATATATATATATCCCCCCTCCCTTATATATATAAAATATTTATCTCTACGTACGTATAAAATTATTTTCTCTTCGAGAGAACTCGAGGATATTCTTCATCGCAAGTAGATTAGCGACATAAAAATATACGCGAATTTTGCAATATTCGTTGCGACAGCTATTCAAATAAACAAGGAGCCCGAGTTATACGCGAATATATAACGGCCGACTCTCTGGTAATGATTATTTTTAGCTTAGTCCATTCTCGCACTTTACACCGTAGCACGGAGCGCCACAATTCTTGATATTAAGAGAGGAACAAGTGTATGACATATTACTTTGAAGTTACATTTAAATCGTGGTCTTAATTTCCTGCGGAAACAAAGCGCATCTCTTTCGCTCTTTTTCTCTCTCTCTCTCTCTCTCTCTCTCTCTCTCTCTCTCTCGCTGGCGCGCTTCGCGATAATCCGACCTGAAGAAAAGAGAAAAGAAAAAGAGAGAGCAGCGGCAAGTTTTCTCGCGGCCTTTTTTCCGGCTTATTATTTGCGTTAAAACGAATTTTATGTATTCGCGCTCGCACTCGCACGAGTACTTGGCAACTTCGGTGCGTGCTTTACGGCAACGGGAACGCAATAACAATGGCGCTGCTTTTTCGTGATAAAGGGTTATGACTGCGCTTTGAACTTTTATAAAGGACGTTCCAAGTTTTGAAAGGCCGTGAAACGCCAAACGCGTCTTTGAAACATCGCGAGACTTCCGGCCGGGATTCGAGTATCGCGAGAGCGAACGTGCCGGAACGAGAGAGTAGCGCGAATGTAAACCGACCGCTCGTGTATTACCTACCTATCCGATGCTTCGTAAATGTACGCAAATATGTCACATCCAGCGATAGTCGCTGGAGACTTCGAGAAGGAGGAACCGGCAGCGACAACTGAAACGTCGGCGGCTTCGCGTTTTATCCGACAAGAATTCACGTCGTCCCCGGTAAATATCTCAAATATTATTTCCGCGCATAGATTTTACAGCCGCGCACGGAATATTTTTGCCGACCATGCCTACAAACGCGAATTCGCGATTTTACCTCGCGTTCTAATTAACAACGGCATGTAAAACAACGTGTACACATACAAGATGAATATAAAAGCTCGGGAGAATTTTGGATACATGTCTGCGTATATTTGAAAACCTACACTCGCGCGGCTGTTTGTCTTTTTTTCTATTAAATGTTTCAAAACACAAAGAGAGGGAGAAAGAGAGATAGAGATGGAGAAAGGGAGCGAGAGAGATTTAACAATTTTCGCGAGCTTTTCG